ACACACACACACACACACACACACACACACATGCAACTAAGTATGTGTATGTATTAAAAAGGTATTATAGAGTGTTGTTCCAGTTACATGAGCAAGGCAATGTATCCATTTCTTATTGAACAATGTTACCCATCTTGTTTTTTCCCCTACCATTGCTTTCCTCCCCAGCTCTCCAATACCTACTTCCCACACACAAACTTGTAAAGTTTGTTTTGAACATAATTTCTAATACATCTTGTTTTTAATATGGGTATTTGAACATTTTGTTTCCTTCGCTGCCACAAATTTGACAAATATATCTACAAGGTGCAGAACACCGAAATCAAGTACAGTGATAATAGGCATAATGCCATTAAGGAAGAACTTGCAAAGAAACAACAACAACAAATACACATGCTATATACTTAAAAAGAAGAGCAAAAATGACATAATCTCTAGTGTCCCCATCTTCGGGATCATTTCACTTAGCATCTACTTATATCGTCATATGTGCATAGGTTTTGACCTCTTGTGCTTGTCCTAGACATATTGTATGGAAACCATGGGACCTATGTTTCTTTTGGTCTGACATACTTGATTTAATATAGTTTTCTCCAAATATTTCCTTTCCTAACAAATGGGACCGTGTCATTCTTTCTGATGGAGGCACAGAATTCCAAAATATATATACATATATGTACGCTTGTTATGTATGTATGTATATATCAAATATTTGATTGATTAATCTGCTGAGGGGCATCTGGGTTGGTTTCAATATCTTAGACATGGTAAATAACATAGTTGTGCTGGTAGCTTCATTGTGACCTTGTTTGGGTATATTTGGGAAAATGCCTAAATGTGGGATTGCTGGGCTATACGGGTGCTCTACATGTAGTACTTTAAGGCACTTCTATACTGCTTTCCAAAGTGGTTGAACATGTTTAAACTCCCACCAACAATCCAGGAGTGCTCCCTTTGGGCTTATCCAATCCAGCACCTGTTTATATTAGATTTCTTAATTACAGCCATTCTTAAAGGGATAAGGTGGAATCTCATTGTTGCTTTTTATGTTTCATGTTTAATTAATTTTTGATAAATACCTTTTATTGAAAAAAACCTGTACAGAGTGGTTACTGTTAAATAAGCAAGGTAATAAGCCAATTTTTTATCTATCATTATTAGCCCCGCTTTGTTTTTTAATTACCATCCCTTTCCTCCCCATCCTCTAATTCATATCTCTCCACCCACAGCCAGCAAAGTTGGTAAGTTCATTTTGACTATATTGTCCTCTACATCTCTTTGTTACAATGTGTCATCCTCTACACTTATTTTAGCATTTTGTTATTTCTCTTCCCTTCCCCAAATCAGAAAAAAAAATCATGTACAAGTTTCAGGACACCAGTATAAAATACAGTGCCATTAATGTTGAGATTTTTTTATGGCTAAAGAAATGGACCAGTTCTTTATGTATTTATTAGCCATTCTTTTTTCCTCTTCAGAGAAGTCTCTCTTTAAGTCTTTAGCCCAGGTATTAATCAGATGATTGTTTCTTTAAGGATTTGTTGTTAGGAGCTTTAATTTTTTGAGTTCAAAATATATTTTATATATGAGACACTTGTCCATTACATGGCTACTGGAGATCCTCTCCCAATCCGTGGCCTTTTAATTGAACTTGCTTGCGATGTCCTTTGCCATTCAGAAACTCTGCAGTTTCACACAATCCCATTTGTCCAAGATTTCCTTGATTTGTGGTGTTTCTGGGTCTTTATTAAGAAAATTTGGCCTGTGCCAAGAAGCTTTAGAGTTTCTCATATTGCTTTCTGTAATGTTTTCAGGGTGTCTTTTTTGACCTCGAGGTCATTGATCCATTTGGAGTTGATTCTAGCGCAGGGTGATATATAAATATCTGGCACTAATTTTGTACAGGTGTTTAACAAATTTTGCCAGCACCATTTACTGAAGTGGTTGTTCTTCCTCTGTTCTACTTGTTTTGATTCCCTGATCGAAGGTTAGGTGGCTATAGGTCTGTGGATACATTTTTGTGTCTTCAGTTGTTTTCTATTTGTCCTCAGGTTTGTTCATGTATCAATACCAAGGTTATGTGATTTCTATATCGTTGTAGTAGAATTTGAAGTTTGGTATTTGTATTCTTCCAGCGCTGTTCTTTCTTCTAAAGATGTTTTTGCAATCTAGGTTTTGTTGTTTTTTTTTGTTCTATAAGAATATTTGGATTAATTCTTCTATTTTCTTTTTTTTATTGTGAAAATAGTGTACAGAGGGGTTACAATTACATGGGCAAGATAATGAGGACATTTCTTATCAAGCATTTTAGCTTTCTCCTTTGTTTACCCTTCCCATCCCTTCCCATCCTCCCTCCCCCCGATCCAATCCCCCCCCCCACCAAATTGTAAAGTTCGTTTTCGACATGACAATTTTACTTCTCATTGTTGCAACAGGTCCACCTGTATCCTTATTTAAACCACTTGTTTTTTCCCTTCCCATCCACAAATTATACCGACATCAAATTCAGTGAAAGCAGGGGTTATACTGTGGGGGAAGGACATACAAAGAAATAATATTATAATTGCATTAGAAACAAATGCATGAAAAAAACATTTAAAATACATATCTTAGGGTTCATTTTCCTAACATCACCTTATCTGACCTTTTCAGCTTGACTCATACATATACTAGATATTGCAAATAAGGGAAATCGGAAAGTTCTATTTTCTTAAGAAATGAGGATGGGAATTTAATCGGTATAAAATTGAATTAGTAGATAGGCCTTTTCACGATATTAATCTTTCCAATTGTGCAAAAAGGAGAGTTTTCCACTTCCTAAGTTATGCTTTAAGTTCCTTTTTTCAGGTTTTTAGTTTTCCTCATCAAGGTCCATCAATTCTTTACATAACGCCTAGTATTTTGTTTTTTCCCAACAATTTTCATCTAGACATCAACTACTCCTTCATTGTAAGTGGTTCTGCCTAAATATCAACATTCTTTCAAATGTCCATGCAGCTCCAATAAATCGAATTTTATGCCATATTTTTTTCACTTCCTTACTTTCATTATTTTCTAGTAATAGCTAGGAAAAAGTTGAAAATTGATATTTGAGTCACAATCAGGCAGATTTCGACTCCAAATTGACGGGTTATATTTGTACACTGTTTCTACATAAAAAGTTTCCTACACATTCTCAGTCACCATTCTGACATGAAGGTGACAACCTTGTTCAAGCATTATTGTCTCCTGTTTAGTATTCAACATAGTGTCTTGTACATCTCATTTTTACAATGGGTTAACCTGTATCCCTGTTTAAACAATTTGTTTTGTCTCTTGCCCTCCCAAATTATACCAACATCAAATACAGTGAAAAGAAGGGTCATACAAAGCAATAAAAAAATCACATGGTATCTTAGAAACAATAGCAAGAAAGGAAAAACCACTTGTCTCCATATACTGGGGTTCATTTTGCTTAACGTCATGTTTTCTGAACTTTTCTGCTTCTCGCAGACATATACTAGTTTTTGCAATTAAGGGAAGATAGGCGACCTATTTTTGTTTGGGCGTAGTTTACTTCACTTAATATAATGTGGTAAGAAATGTATAGATTACCTTGCTCATGTAACTGTAATCCCTTTCATAAAAAAAAAGTTATTATAGAAAAAGATGTTGACAACCTTCTACTAAGGAAAAAATATGTCAGAATAATAGTGATTATTTTCCAGACTATCAGTATCTATGTGTTTATGAGAGAGTACTTTCAAACCAAGGTTTTTTTTTACATTATTCAATTTCTGACACAAATATTCCTTTGCCCCCTTGTACATATGTTTTATCTGTATATATCTTCATAATTCATATCTTAAATTCATATGATATAAAGTAACAATAAAACGGTCTAAAATTTCTCAAAACAAGTTCTAGAAAATGTTAAATAAAAAGAACATGAAAGAGAGTCTCCCAGAAGGATTTTTATTTATATATCATATATTTTTATTACACAAATAGTATTGTTATAATATAATGTATAAATAAACGTAGAATATATAGAGACATATCTGTGAATGTGTGGCTTTATCTATATACATACAGGCTTTTTCAGTTAAATAACATTTTATCAAAATTATATAAATTATTTACAAATAGGTAGAACATAAATAATAATTGCATTATTATATATTTTAAAAATATTTTACAGAGGGATTACACATTCATGAGGATGGTAAAGATTTCATTTCATAAAGATCATTGGCACCTCCTCCTTTGTTTTCCCCTTACCATCACTTCCTTCCCCACTTCCCCAACCCCTCCGGTCACCCCAAACTCCAACATTGTAATGTTCATTTTTATCATAGGGTATTGTACATCTCGTCATCATAATGGGTCAAGCCGCATCTTGGTTTAAGCCTTCCCCAATATTACTTCCCCTCCCCAATTTACAAAAATGTATATGCAAGTCGCAGAACACCAGCATCAAATCAAATGAAACAGTAGTTTTACCATAGGGCAAGTATATACAAAAGAAACAAAAAATCACATATTGCATTGTCAGTACATAAAAAACATGAACTACTTGTCTTGGGGTACATTTTGCTTAGCATTACCTCATGTGGTCATAGGTACATATCCTTTGAACTTCTCTGCTTGTCCTACACTTATACTAGTCATTGCAAACAAGGGAAGGCGTGGGACCTATGTTTCTCTGGGTCTGGCTTACTTCATTTAATATAATTTATTCCAAGCCTTTCCATTTCCTAACAAATTAGGCAAAGTCATTCTTTCTGACAGAGACATAGAAAATCATTATATATGTGTATATAGAGTTAGGTTGTGTGTGTGTGTGTGTGTGTGTGTGTGTATCGAGGTCGGTTCCATATCTTAGGTATGGTAAATAAGGCTGCAATAAACATGGTTGCGTTGGGCACTTTTGTACTACTTTGTTTTGATGGCTTGGGTAAATGCACAAAAATGGGATTGCTGGGTCATAAGGGAGCTCCATGTGCAGATATTTCAAGAACCTCCATACTGATTTCCAAAGTGGTTGGACAAGTTTTCACTCCCAACAACAATGCACTAGGTTTCCATATTGGCCACATTCCCTGCAATATCTGTTGTTACTAGTTTTCTTTATTATAGCCACTCTTACAGGGGGGAGGTGGAATCTCAAGGTTGTCTTGATTTGCAATTCTTCCATGTCTAGAAACGTTGAGCATTTCTTCATGTGTCTATTGGACATTCTTATTTCCTTTTCAGAGAAATGTCTCTTTAAGTCTATAGACAATATATTATTTGGGAAGTTGTTTCTTTGAGGATGTGTTGTTCGGGATTAAGTTTTTGAGTTTTAAGTATATTTTACATATGAAACCCTTGTCGTTTGTATGGCTAGTGAAGATCTTCTCCCAGGCTGTGTGGGCTTTCTGTTGATCTTGCTAGCTATATTCTTTCTATGCAGAAGCTCTGCAGCTTCATTAAATTCCCTTTTTCCAACCTCTCTTTGGTTTGTTGTGCTTCTGGGTCTCTATTAAGAAATTAATGCCTGCTCCAAGGAGCCCATAGTTTGTCTTACTCTTCCCTGTAATGTGTTCATTGAGTCTGCTTTCATTTCTAGGTCTTTGATCCATATGGAGTCCATTCTGCTCCAGCGTGAATTATAAGGATGTAGTTTTAGTTTTTTACAAATGGTTAACCAATTCTACCCACAACATTTACTGAAAAGGCTGTCATTCTTCCATTCTCCTTCTTTAGATCCCTTGTCAAATATTAGGTGGCTATAGGTCTGTGGGTTCATCTCTGGGTCTTCAATCTTATTCCATTGGTCCTCAGGTTTGTTCTTGTGCCAAGCTATGGCTTTTTAGTAGAGTTTGAAATTTGGAATTGATATTCCTCCAGAGCTATCCTTTCTACTATGGTCTGTTTTTGCTAATCAGTGTTTTTTTCTTCCCATTGGCATTGTTGGATTGCTTCTTATATTTCATTGAAGAATGAGGTTAGCATATTGATAGCTATCACATTGACTTGGCATATAGCATTTGGCAGTATTGTCATTTTCATGATGTTAATTTCCCCAATCCAGGAGCATGGAAAGTTTTACCACTTGCTTAGTTCTCTTTAATTTCCTTTTTCAGGTCTTTAAAGTTTTCATCATATATTTCCTTCACCTAGATTGTTGATTGCTAAGTATTTTCTTTTTAGTGGGGCTATTACAAGTGTGGATGCTTTCCTAATTTCACTAATGCTCTTCTCATTATTTGCATACAGGAAAGCCATTCATTTCTGAGGGCTAATTTTATACCCTGCTGCTATGCCAAAGTTTCCGATCAGTTCAAGTAACTTGGGAGTGTAGCCAATGGGATTCTTGAAATACAAGATCATGTTATCGGCTAAGATGGAGTGTTTTACTTCATCTTTCTCTGTTTGGTTCTTCTTTATGTTTGCATCTTGTTTTATTGCCCTAGATAGGCCTTGGAATACTAGTTTGAAGAGGAGTGGAGAGAATTGACATCCTTCCCTCATTCCGGAATTTAGAGGAAATGGCCTTATCTTTTCAACATTAAGTATAATGCTGGATGTAGGTTTGTCACAAATAACCTTTATTATATTGAGGAATATTCAATGGATTCTTGCTAGTGTTTTGAATGTACTTTCAATGCAGTAGGTGATACTTTTGTTTCTATTGTATGTTCTTCCCCCATGGTATAACCCCTGTTTTCACTGGATTTGATGGTGCTGCTCTGCACAATATACATATAGTTTTTAATTTGAGGAGAGGAAGTGATATAGCATAATGCTTAAATGAGGATGTAGGCTGACCCATTGTGATATCTAAATGTACAGGAAATTATATTGAAAATGAACCTTACAATGTAGAGGTGAGGGGAGCAAGAGACATAAGGGAGATATGGAAGGTAGTGATGGTAGGGGGATAATAAAGGAGGAGGTAACAATGCTCGCTATGAAATGCACTCATTACCCTACTCATGTAACTGCAACCACTCTGTTCGACACTTAAATATTAAAATTTTAAAAAGGTGCACACAGGCTGAGTACCAGGTAAAATGATTTAATAAAAAATTTCCTTTGTCGTAATACTAGAGTAGAAATGACAGTCTACTATCTGAATCACTATACCAAAATTGATCCTCACAAGTCACAGTTATCTCATGTAAATATCCATAAACTGATATGTTATAGGGAATTCGTGGACCCTCTAAAATCAAGAAGTTCATCTGTTCCTTAACAAAAGCTCTGGCATTCAGTTTCTTGTAAAGGTGTTTTATACTTGGACAAAATTTTAGCACAGAGTCTGAAAATGTAGTCATGAATAACTGGTCTACCCACCACAAATAGGCTTCCATTTCTTGCCAGGTACACTTGAGGAAAAATGTGGAAATCTATGAGCAAGTACTTGTTTCTTAGTGTATGTTGGTTATTGTCTGGAAGGGCTTAATACTAGGCTATGATCAGGTCTATGATTTAGGTCTACCTTTGGTTGATTTTTAATTTTACAGTGGGGGTATCATTAAATGAGTAAGGGACTGAATAACATTCTTGTGATACCAGTTACACTCTTCCACATTTATCTCTGTTTCCATCCCCAATATCTGACCTCCCAAGTTGTAAGGATCATATCCAACATATTGTCTTGTGAGTATTGATGTTACATATGCTGTTTCCCTATTGTTGTAACACTAATTGTTGCATGAATTCTATTGTTTAGGTCTACTTTTCAAAGTTAGTGTTATGGTGAACACAAAAGCCTCCTCAAAAGTTCATAGCATTTTTCAAATACATCTCATTCATATGCCCAAGTGTACTATCGATAATTACTGACTTTGGAAAATTATGTCAGGATGTGATATAAAAATAAACTAGAACATTGCTAAATTTGGCAGTCCTTTATTCACGATTTTAGGCCTATTCTCCTTTCACCATTTCTTAAACTCTTGCACATCAAAGTGTGGATGATATAGATTCTTTGTGAGAAGAGTGACATGAATTGACTAAAAAATTATACAACCTAATGCAAAATTTTGAAGTGATAAAATACAAAGATCTTCAATATACTTACAAAAGATACGTCATGCATAACACTGTCTATGTTTTATCACAATTTTTTTTTCCTTTAGGATGTGTGAAAATACAAATGTTCATTGTCACCATCATAATACTTAGTGACAATAGGGAAGATATACACTGATATAAAATTAGCTATATTTTCATAAATATATGAATGTCACCTGTCAATGGGAATATTGCAACGCAACATGGCAATCTGAGGAGTTTCTGAAGACTGATTTCTGAAAGGGGACATCAATATTCATAAAAACTACAGATGTTTGAGGACATAGTGGTTATCCTAAGTGTATGAAATGAAAACAGTAATTTAAGGAGCAGTTAAGCAAAAATATAATTTATTTTAAATATTATTGAAGGTGCCATACTTCGCATACATATGCTTAGGTTATTCTTATTACAATAAGGAGAACATTGATGCTTCTCTAATTAATGTAAGCAAAATTTAGTTTTTGAAACCAAGTAGTGATAGGTTGGAAAAAGATTGCATGATGTCCAATCAAATACTTCAAGACATAGACATACAAATATTAACAGAGTTTATCACAAAGAATTAAAACATTGATTTAAAGAGTACTTGTGACAAAACAGAAAGTATCAGTTTGGCTTCGATATTTACAGTGGCTCTCTCAACACAAATCTTAATTTTTATTCTTCCTCCCTAAAAGAATTATAATTTAAACAGCCAATGATCTTCCGTATGAAGTTAAGATATTTGAGTTATCATGGAGTCACTCTCTTCAGACGGATTTAAATATCTGAGAAGAGTTTTGCTTGAACTGGTACAATATCATATGCCTCGATGTCATATATTATAGCAGAGATTTTACATACTTTATGATATGTCACACTGTGTAATGTATTTCCTAACTTAAGATACATTTATTAAGACATTTTTGTATTTTTATTTTTTTATGGTGAAAATAACCTACAGAGGGGTTACAATTACATGGGCAAGGTAATGAGTATGTTTCTTATCAAGCAATCTTGCCTCCTCCTTTGTTTCCTCTTCCTATCCCTACCCATCCTCTCTCACACCTTTTCCACTCCACCCTCCTTCCACCCCAGAGCCAAAGTTGTAAAGTCTGTTTTTCGACATAACATCTTGTACAAGTCATTGTTTTAATGGGTCCACCTGTTTCCCTATTTAAGCGATTTGTTTTTTTCCCCTTACCCTCCACAAATTATAGCAACATCAAATACAGTGAAAGCAAGGGTTATACCATGGGTGTGGAAAATACAAAGCAACAAAGAAATATCTTATGAATATGTTAGAAATAATAGCAAGAGAGTAAAACCTTTTGAGTCGTTTACTGGGGATTCATTTCCATTAACTGACATACACAAGTAATTGCAAATAAGGGAAACTACGGTATCTTTGTTTCTTTGGGCCTGGCTTACTTCAACTAACATTATTTTTTTCCAAGTCTTTCCATTTCCTAACAAATGGGGCAATATCGTTCTTTCTGATTAAGGCATAGAATTCCATTTTGTATATGTACCAGATTTTCTTCATCCATTCATCTACTGAGAGCTATCTAGGTTGGTTCCACACATACATCATTCCTAACTGGATCAAATTCATTAATTAAAAAAGTATACTCTGCCCCAATCACCCTATTTCAGGGCCTGAAATATAACAATTCAGTTTGTTGTTCTTGCTGTTGTTTGCTTGGAATAGTTCTGGGAAGAGAAAAATTCTGTAGAACAAACAAACCACATGTAAATGTAAAGCAGTTTTATGTAGGTATAAACACTATGGTCCTAGTTCCAATGAATTAGAAGTCAAGAAAACACCAACAGGACCATTCTATTGAAGCCTAGCCGAATTCCAGTGAATTTTATGATGAAAATCAGAACAATGCAATCTTCCCTTCTGTCTCTGAGCCAGAAGAGGGTATTTCACTTGTCGTAGGCTGGCTTCCTGATGAAGGACCTGAGATCATGAATGGGAAAATGATTATGTTACTACAATTATTGGCATCCCACGTAGAGGAGGCACTGGAAATGACCACTGCAAATAAAATGTGTATTTGAGAGAAGAGCTTCCTGCTTCCGTTAGTGAGTCTACTTATCTTTAGCACACAAC